TGTTTATGATGTATTACATAAGTAGTATTATGGTGGACTTCAGCGAAGTAAACACCAGAAAATGAAATAAAAAATAATAAGTTTTCAGTTAAAAATAAATGTTTTATCGTAAAAAAACTGTCCAAGAGATTTGAAAATATCTAAAATTTTAACTTTTGAGTATAAAAAAATATAAAATTAATTTCTAGACTTTTTTTTTATTTCTCTTTCAAGGCAAATATTATTTTGGAAAACACCAATGTCATGATGATTCAAACGTTTCGCCGTGAATATGAACAGGTGCTCTTGAACAAAAAAGTTCACCGTCGCAAAATGTCTGTACACAAAGCGCAAAAGTTTTCTCTAAGTTATATAATTCTCTAGGTCTTCATAATTCAAGGAGTTTACAAATATTAATTCCAACTAAAATCAAACGGTACACGCAGTAATCAGAGTTTCTTGGTTGACAATCATTCGAATAATTTAGTAAAACAAAGACTTTCATAAAAGGCCGAGACTTTAGATTTTAATCGTTCTTAATCATAATAACCAAGTTTAATTTAAAGAAAAAAAGAAGGAATTTTAAATAAATATTTGATGGAACGAATAAATAAAATGTATTTATTGCCAGTTTTGTTTTAAATTCGGTTATTTATGTGATGCCTACACGAACAGACGGTATTCACTTTATTTCTTAAAAATAATAATTACACTTTTTTTTGCTACTATATATTTTTAACTATTATATATTATAATGACTTTTATAGTGTATTTTTTTCCTCCGTTAATTATAATACCTAAAAAAAACGAAAATTCTCTTTTTTTTTTTTGTGTGTGTATTTTATGCCTTTGTTAAATTTGTTTAGACTTTGTTACGTTAATAATATTTACACTGCGGCGGATTAATGGGCAGACAAGTGGCAACGTAGGGATAGTTACCTGGGGTAGCAATATTTATGGGGCAGCAAAATATTTGATGACGTTTAACTTCCTTTTTTTTTTTTACTATTTTTTATACGAATAAAAATGTATTTATGTGATGGGTCGGCAAAAATGTATTTGCACGAGGGCGGAAAACATGTAAATCCGCTTCTGTTTACATTTCCGGTTATTAAAATAGTTTAATTATTATTTATTATGAAATGTCTAAAGAGAATATTTTAACGGATAAAACAAAATACTATTTATTGTAAAAAATTAATATTAAACTTTGTAGTGTTCTTTGAGAAAAAATATAGTAGCAAACATGTCTTATCGTTGCGATTAACGTTAAGTTAAGAAACTTTAGAACTGGGTACACAATATCATAGAATTAATAATTGTCTATTAGCTTTTTTAAAATAGATAAGTCCAATAACAATTTGCATATTAATATACTGAAATAACGCCAGTTTAAGAATTCTACATCTGTTGTATTTTCTAAACAATTTAACAAACCCGCACAGTAATCATAATTTTGTTTTCAGTTTTTATTTAATTATTACATAATCATAATTAGGTCAATCATATTATTATTATTAGTTCATGTAGAATATTAAGTAAATAACGTTTTAGGAACAATGTTTTTAATATATTTGTAACATGTATTATATTAAAAATAATTTTAAATAAAAAAAATGTATAAAATGTAGTTTGAAAATATCGATAAAAAATATTTTAGGAATATTATAGGAATGTTATTTTTTAACATTATACATAAAATACGTTTTTTGAAATACATTAAAACTACAACGTTTTACAGAAATTTTATGATTATTTATTTTCTACTTGGGTTATTTATTTGTTATAACAAGATGTTTTAGTTACTTAAAAGTAAAGTGCGCTTATGAAAAGCTGAAACGACTACCATTTAAAATTCATCTAGCCAGCATTTATTTTCTACCGATTGTTCTTTATTTCATAACGTTTTTTTTTCAAAAATTACTACTAGACTAAATTGTAGACACTAAAAAAACCTACTTCACGTCGAAAGATTACGTCTTCGACTTATCTCTTATTTTAATCGACTACTAAAAGAAAACATGTTGTAATTAATTTAACTATAGTTGTTTAACGAGTCAACATAAAGTACAAGGGAGAGTCAGGCGGAGCTGTTGAATATAATATATTTATATATATGATATATATATATATATATATATATCTGACATTGTAATTGTTACAGTAGTAACATTTGCCTACTGTACAGACTCGAAATGAAGACTTTGGTTATTACATGAGAGGTTACAAAATGAGGTTAATCTGATTAGAAAGAGATAAGTGCTCTGCAATACGAGACATATAATATTATTTTGTAGTAAATTAAATTATTATTATTATTATAATACTCGTATGTATGTATTAGGTATATTGGTTGTTAACGTGGAAATTCAATTACCTGAGCGTATCAAACCGCTTGCTTTGGCCAAAACCGGCTCCGCTCAATGTGTTTATCTGCCGACTTTGCCTGGCAAAGTACTCGGCCCGGTCCCGCAGAATTTCCAAATCCCTCAGAAGATTTTCTCCTTCTGTAAAATATTACATTACACACGATTACATCATCTGTTGGGTGTAAGCAATTAAAAGAAAAAAAAATGAAGTTAAATAATATTCACATACAAAGCAGTCGAGTAAGGATCGTGCTATGAACGGTCAACGTTTGATTTCAACTCGACTAATCTACTAAACGATTAAATATGTACATAAAAAATAACTTGACTTCACTACTGATGAGTGCGCCGGGAACGAAACTTTTCTATGTACAATACTGAAGCAACGTGGATTTTAATTAATAATACCTTCGAGCTAGGACCCAATTTCCAGGGTGGAATTAATAATGCATTGACCTAATATAAAATGTCTTAGCAATTTCCTTATGCAAGTAGTTCAACTACTGCCAGTATAGTCTACTGGCAAAATTAATAACTTTACCAACACGATGAAAACAAAAATGTATCTGCCTACTTGGATTTTTCCTGAATCTCTCTGAAATTTATTTAAAATAGAGTAACTTATTGCATTTTCTGAATTCAAAACTGGTTTTAGAATTTGTCTAATAAAAAAAAAATGTACACATAAAGTAGCTTAGAAAATTTTAGTTTTTGCTTTGTAAGTTGTTTACAATTAAAAGATAATTAAAAAAAAAAGTGATGTACCAGAAAAATGTCGAGGCCAAATTCAGATTTTTGTGAAAAAAAAATTGTTGTATTTTGGTTCTTGTTGCAAAATAAGGTCACATTTTGTCGTACAGCGTGTTATTATTCTATTTAAAAATTAATTGTCCAGCGACTTTATAGTACGCAAATAGGTGTATTCTATGAAATAATATCTATATTTATAAGCCGTGCTAAACTTAATTTTAAATATTTAAACTTTTATTAGAATTAATGTACGGTCATATTCAATTATGTATTAACTATAAATAAGTTATTTATATTAGGTAATTAACATTGTCTAACGATGACACGCATAAGTTGGGAAAGGTTGAATCGTGTTGTACAGTAGTAACGGTATCATAGCTGTTAAAATAAAAATATTTAAATATATGGTAATAAGATAGTTTATTTTTTATTAAATATATCGACAACATTTTCTCGAATCATTTATTTTGTAGGTTTCTTTTCGGTTGAAATCAAATATTGCACTGTACTCCGTGTGATGAAAGAACGCACCTGCGCAGAAACCAATACTGGACAGGATTGACGGTCTGCGCAGACTGTGCGTTCTCTCGTCACACGGAGTATGTGACCGTTCATTTGTATAATAATAGTTATTAGTATATTTTTGTAAGACTCACTGTAAGACTTATTTTCATAAGTATTGGAATATGTATGAACTGACCTTCATCAAGTTGGCAGACGGTGCTTAAGGGGCTTAAGCATGCTGCCCCACATGCAAATACTGTGCGTGAAGTGTAGGTATTTATAACTAACTTGCTACTAAGTGCTATAATATACATAAGTGAAAGCACTCTTTCGGAAGTTGAAACGTTATCATTTTTCAGTGAACGCACGCGATACCAGTTGCTTTTTTTTTGGTTGCAGTCAAAATGGTCGACGATCGTATTAAAAATGCAAAAATAAAACGTCGTACCGGGCACATGATTTGTTTATTAGATTTCTATCGGGCAACACCGTTTAATAATTTAAACGCGTCAACCCTCAGGTAAAATCTAAAGGGACGTATTAATTACAAATTCAGGATTTCACAATACATACCACACAACTGTATGAATATACCGAATCATAAAATTCTAAAAATTGTATATAGGTATACACTATATAGGTAAATGTATATGAATATGCCCTGATTGTCCTCTATAAATCATTCAGTTCCCCGAGCTAAGCTCGTTTTATACATATTTAATATGAGTATTGACGACTTCTATAATAATTTAGAAAAAATAAAATTGAATGAATAGCGTAAAACCTGGGCATTATTTAAATAACAACTCAAATAGTAATTACATGTTTTTTAAGCGAAGATCTATGTTCTATGTATCTATAGTCTACTATAGATACGTACTATGTTTAATTTCAAACACTCAAAAAATGTAAATAACAAATATAAATTTTTATCTCAAATAATTTAAAGTTTAATAAAATCTAATAAACATTTTTTATCTATTTAATAATTAATACTGTCTAATACGAAAATGGATATTATGTAGTACTGTTTTTAAAACAAATTATTTTAAAAACAATTTAATTAAATCATTCAAAAATATATTATTACATAAAAATGTATTAAAACAAAGTATATTTATATTTTCATTTGAAATCGATACGTATTTTTTTCATCGTTATTGTAAAAACAAATTGTTTTTACAGTTTCCAAAAAATAAAAAAAATATTATATGAAGTTTTAAATAATAAATAATTTAAAACGGTATATTTAAATGTGTTTCAGACAGCTGAAAGCATATACATGATTTATTATTTGTGTTACTTAAAATAAAATCGCCCAGGTTTGGAATTCATCTATTCTTTGTGATAAGTGATAACTAAAAAAATAAAATCATTTATTCAAATAAATATGTATACTTAGTTATACATTTTTTTTAAAACTGAAATTGGAGTGCGTCTCATTAAAAAAAAATGTATAACCAAACAAACCGCGAGTATTTTGACCTTTATGACCTTTTGTACAGCGTAATCGTTATAAACTTATAAGTATAGGGTGTATCCATTCAAATAAAGTGTTTGAAAAAGTACTAAGTCATTGAAACTTTTTAAGTATTATTTTAAAAGCGATATCCCACCGTAGTTTGAAACAATTTGTCGAAGAATAACTTCGCATTGAACACTTTTACACGACAAAGTGAACCGTAACTTTTTGTTACTAACTTAAGCGTAAAATATCAATTGTTTTAATGGAGTGTTTTTTTTTTTTATTGATCTTCTTACTTTGTTCTTTAAAATCGTTGACATTTTTACCCCTTACGCTCAGGCCGACTTATAGCTGTAGGATACATTGAATCATGGATATGTTTTTGGTAATTTCCTAAGATAGCATTGATGATCATTTTAGTTTATAATTCAAGAATAATCGGTCGAAAAAAAACAAAAAGTTTGTATTCACGGCCGGGGAGTTTGCAGTAAAACGTCATTTCGTTTCGCACATTCAGTTGGCTGTGTGCCCTGTCCAAAAACATATCCACGTTAAAACCTTTTAAAGACAAAACACACACATATTTTGATGCTAACTTCATTTAACTACACACACACACACGGGTAATATTTTATATTGACTAATAATTTTAAACGATAATTAATATGTTTGAATATAGGTATGTTAATTAGAAGCATAGGAGCTCGGTGCGTTCCTCGGCAAACAGTTTTCACACCCTTCCGTGATATCGTCGTAGGCACCGGAAAGTACACCGTAATAGTCTTCGCCGTAACCGCCGCTGGCCGATGTGTCGGATTCCACAAGCTGGTCGTTGCGCCAACTATGCTTGAAGGGCATTTTGTACTTGTTCCGGTTTTGCACCGTGTACTTGACGTACCTTCCGCCGCCCATCCGGAACGGCTTCCTGACGAACAAAATCGTGCCTCCCAGCCGGTCCAGGGTCCCGGTTAAATCCATCGGTGGATCGCTATCGGATTTATCTTCTTTCGACATGCGTTTGTCCGAGGCATCTAATGTCGACGGCCACGACCGGGTTCGCACCAGATGACCGCCGTTCAGACGATCGAGCGTTCCCCGTTTATCCATCGTCAATGTCTTCAAACAGTCTTCCCCATCGCCACAGACGTCTGCAAAACCAACGGATTAGGTAGGACCGGGCCGCCATACCGCGGTCTACACCGAACACCGCACATCAAGATCCAACCCCTCGACCATATTTAGATATGTTTGTCGAACGATTTGCGTCGTCCGTATCATTTGGTACGGGAAAGGCAGGAAATAAGAGATAGATGGGAGAGGGGGGGGAAGTTTTGTGATATGGGGTGGTAGGGCGAAATGGGGGAGAGAATAAACAGGTAAGGGAAGTAGAAAGTAGTGACGTCATCGATAAGCTAGCGGTCAAGTCTCGAGATGGTAACGCAAAAATGATAAACCGAGTTTGTCCACGCGAAAAAATGTTCACCCTCACGGAAAAGACATGTACATATCAAAATTAAATGAATTAATTGCACATCATATATACGTATTGTGATCTGCGTATCTTATTAATCATTTCTTACCAGTAGATTCACTTATCAATAATTATATCTTATCAGTTATCCCATCTCTATCTCATTCACACGTATCGCTATCCCTTTCTTTCCCCCTTCACTTCGTGTCACAAAAGCGTCACACAAATTGCCTTGAAAAAATTCACATGAAAATTTGTTTCCCCATTTAATGTGATTTCCCCTTCTAAATCTAGTACTTAATAATTCTAATTAATGTTTATGGATAAGGACAAATAAGAGGAAATCAACTGATTTATGATAGTGATGACAAATGGTGGTTCTATGCTTTATAATTATTGCATAAGTATTTTAGAAGTTATTTTTTTTTTTAATTTCTTATAATGATATTAGAGCAGAGTAGTGGAAAACCGAGGGAGCCAACTGCGAGAATAAAATCTGAAAAGAAAAACTGTGAATAAACGAATTGGGATGAGTCTATATTATCTTGCTCGAGTAAAATACCGGATACAAAAACATACAATCTAACCTTAACACATCTGATTGTGTGAGTGTTTACGCGTGGAATCATAAACAACGGATATTTGGAACTGCAAGCCCATTTTAGCTACACCGATAACGAGAACAACCGATAATATAAAGTAATTTGTAAAAGTTTTACACAATTGTTGAGAACTGATACAACTTTCAAACGGTTAACAAATCGGCAAATCGATTGTTTAGCATTATTTGTTGCGCGTAGAAAAAATAACAGAATTACAAGTTGCTGATATAGCATGTTTTTGGAAACTTAATTGTAGCCAAAAAGCGCGAATCGAAGTTAATCCAATGGCTTCGAGCCAAAAGTCAATAATAGTACCTTTGAGTAAAATAAAAATAACATAAAAACCCAACTTGTGTCACGTACACGGTTTTTACATTTACCGTGTTTTTTTCAAGTAAACATTTAATGAAAACGTTGTTGCGCCTTTCGTCGTCCTATATCATCAAACGAATAAAACACTAAAAACCCATTTAAACCCCACTTTACGTTTACACTTGCCCAGTAACGTGGTATGATATTATTAAGCGGGCCAAAGAAGTAGGTACGTTGGTAGACGAGATGCTTTTATTTCTTCTGTTTTATCGCTCAAAGAAATATCAACGAGACGAAACACTAAAAGAATCTCGAAAATAACTTGGAGAGTTCAGGTTGACCTTTATTGTTTCGTCCAATGTTTCGCTTTTCATTGTCGAAATATAATATATTATGTTCACTCTACTGTGGTGACCAAATAGCGTGGTACTTCAAGCGATGTATTTAATAAACGTTAATAGTTTCGATACGAAGCTGAGAAGGGATTTTTTTACAATGATGTGTTTTTATCTTTGTGTCTGAACCCACATTATCTCTTAAACCGCTGAACCGAGTCCTTCGTGTAGTACAGATCAGAAAATTTACCTAATTAATACTTTATTTGGCCAAAAGTTAAAAAAGTTCACCCCTTCTTCTTAAAAATCAAGAACCCCCCCCCTCCACTCTCTCTAAAAGTTTAGAATTTTCCTGAAAATCTGTGGTCAAAGATTTCTTTTATTACGGTACACAGCCGATTAACCCTAATCCTCCTTAATTTCATCACTTTTAAACCGACCTCACTGTGCTGGCTTATTAATACTCTTAGGTAACGTCTTGATCTTTTGGTGTTCTATTTTTTAATCATTTTGGCGATTTTGATGTCATGAAATTCTTTTTGAGTTGTTGTCGTTTTAAACATGTACCGATTAGGTTAAATAAAAAAAAGCGACTTTTCCGGATGTTTCCCTGTAACCCTATGTAATACAATATATGTATTATGTTGGGCAGTGCATTTGTTGTATTTACTACTGTTTCCGTATAAATGATGGAAAATAAAAGATGAAAGTGCAAGTACCGGGCTGTCAATCTAAGTCACCAACCGCGGGTAGCGGCCACTTTGTCCATAAATCAAAAGGGCGGAAACAACCTCCAGGGGATCGGCGCCTGTTTCGCTTTTGCTGTTAAAATATATACATTTATATATTATGTTTTGCAACGCTTGTTCGACCGATATATATATATATATATATATATATACTTAAATAGGGTAAACGCTAAAATACCGAAAGAATGTAATTGGGGTAACAGCTGTCGAAAAATAGCGAGAAAACTGTCAAAACGTCAAAGCACAAAGTATCAAAACACGCGGGATAGACAAAACCTAGATAAATGAAAAAAAATAATATAACTTATAACTATATCTCCATCGTTGAGCATTATTTACACCCCACAGTTTCAAAAAATAGTTTATTGGTACTTGCACTTTATCGCGACTAACTATTTTGTTTGCTTAACCTATTAAAACGGGTTGAAAATAATTTTTCAAGTTCACAAGAGCAATCGAGTTTTTTACAGTAATAAAGTTAAACTGTACAGTTACTTGAAAAAATAAATTTTTTGGCAGTGCAATGAGAAAAATTATCTGAATAATGTAACATTTCCGTTTAAGTGTAATAATAGAAACATTTTACAAATAGCAAAATGTTGTTTGCTAACAATATAACTTTATCATAATGTGTACTATATCTCATATAGATCAAAACCAATCTCCTTTCAGCCTTTAGTCATCTTCCTTCACTTGGGCTTAGGATTTTTTTTCTTAACCGCGCAATAGATATATTCATATTTGTGTATGAGCAACTCATAATATACACAAAGGTGGTTGCATTTAAATTTAAAAAACTAATACCAAAAAATCATTACAATACAACCTATCATTACAACCCGAACGCAAGCTTTGCTTCTATGGAAAGTGTTATTATTCAAAATATTATTAGTTGTTTATTCGAATAATGACCAATACTGTACTCAGATTATAAATATGCATACACAGTAAGTCAAAGTTTTACTACGGATGTCAACTACTAAATTTGTTAAACAATACACAATTTTAAAAAGGCCAGTTATTATTTTTGACACTGCTGTTTATTTTAGTTCTACAGGAATCGCAAACTAGATGATGTCAAACTAGTACTTTGGAAATGTTTAACGACTTCGAACTCAGTTTCATAAATAGCCGCATGCCGCCACAGTGACAAATTCAAAGAGTATTAGCCAAAAACTATGTAAATTAATATTTTTACAAATTTTTATGAAATGTTACAGATAATTAACAAACTTGTAAATTTCGGTTAATAATTCTTTGTTTTAATGCTCCGGGACTTGCCCGGACCTGCTTGCCTGCCATTTAACAAGTTTACCATAATAATTCTCCATAAATATCCCGTGTGTCCCACTGTCCCCTGTGCACATTACACAATATGTAAAATGTAAATTGAACCCTTCTTTTGTTTCGTAATAGTCATTACACCCAAAACACGGTATCGTACAACTTGTTCTAATAATATATTCTTATCGTTTCCTGTGGTTATAGGTCAGGACTTGCGGTAATCAGCAACTATTCTAAACAATCGAGATGTCCTCATTAGCGCTGTAAACAGGATAGACTCGCTGTAGTAGGACACGCATTACAAATTACACCGCGACTTGTACGATCATATAATATAATGATATAATCTGTGTTTTCTATACAACAGCAAACTACCCAAACACTATAAAGTCACAATTAAAATTCTACACAATATTACCTACTCTATACTACAATATCGTACAGCTGTGGATAGCCACTGCTGAACTGTTCGAGTAATTCTAGACTACAGAATATAAAGCGCTTTATGGTGTATTCAGTATTGTTAGTGGTGTTGGATCATGCCAACCATGCGGTAATCGGTATTTCCGTGCAGGACTTTATATTTATATTATATATACTTGCATGCGTTCCGTACTTACCTATAAACCGTTGCAAATCTCTGGGGGACGCGTTTCGCAGTGGCAAATAATTGCTGTCACCTGTAACGCGTTCCACCTAGTAGACAAAAAAAAACGATAAATTATTATGATGTATGTATTAATATCACTAGGTACGCCTACTGTTATTATCGTATACCCTACTAAAAAAAAAAAAGTTATTAAAGTTTAACAACAAAACACAGGTGACAAGGTTAAAGTATGAGATGTACAATGTTTATATAACACAATAATGTTTAATCATAATAAATAAAAACAATACCTTCCGAATTTCGGAAAAAATCTACTTAGAATTTTATACCTATCTATTTGTGGGCAAATTAAATCGATCCAGAAATCATGTTTAAAAGCTTAAGGTTAGTACAAACACACTTATAAAGCTATTCACATATATTAACGGAAAATAAAAATGTATTTTTATATTATAATTTCAATATTTATATAATTTCAAATTTGTTGTTGTTATTATCTAATTAAGTTCACAACGAATCCACTAAATTGCTCCACATAGATTGTTTAATTAAACTTTTTGGAAAAAGCAAAATATGCGATGACTTATAAATTATTAATATTATGTTTATCGAAAATATCTATGTTTATTACCTTGACGTCAAAGGAATATAACTTACAAGGATGTAAAATTCGACAAAAGCAATCAAAATATATGACATACCATATTTTATAGCTGGATGTTATTATGGACGTATTGACCAGAAGTGTTATGTTATCGTTAACCTGCGTTATATAGTCTTGAAATTCATAAAAAATGTATAATATGCGAGAATTTTATAATATTTTTATGAAAGTATAATAACGGCAATGAGAAAAGCCGGGCGACTCGTAAATTGTATAAGCACTAAAAGTAGGTGCCTATAATATGAAATTTCCCTGTAACAATTTGTTTGGGGTTCCACTCAAACTATGAAGCCTGAAGAATTATTATTTAACAATTTCAGATACTAAATTGTTCCGCTAAAAGTTATATAAGCAAACAAAAAAAATCACTTTTATAAAAGCACTTCAATTGTTTCACTTTTTTTGGCAACGAATTTTCTCCATAAATTATTTGACTGACTTTTTTACTGAATTTTTACAATAAAATATAATAATAAATACAGCGCAAAACCTTCTAGTAACTTTACAGGCATCGACCATGACCGACTTTAAATCCCGAGCTTTAGTACAAGCCTTATGCAATATTATTCGATGGAAGTTCAGCAACTATACACAGTGTAATTAGTGTTTGATGGACTTGTTAGAATGTACGACAAAAGTTCAAAGGAATTAAAAAAAAAAAAAATTTCAACCCTCGACGACCGGAAGTTTTTAAAAACTCAGATTTATCGAATACTATCAACAGTAGAGTTGGCTAATGATGTTACTAGAACTACATATATTAATTTATCATAATTCCGTCACTGTGAAAAATGTCTCTGGCGTGGTATTTGGTAATTAAATTATCTTTTAAAAAAAAATAGTGTACGATATGTTTTCAAAAATGAATATTGTGCATTAACATTGCAGTATGTCTTTGAAAATATAAATGAATGACGGCAATGTATAATAGTGATAGTTTGTATTCAAAAATGCCGGAGTCTTTATTAATATTTCACATATGACCACTAAATTGTTTTGTGAAGGGTATAAACATTTATTTTAATACTATTAAATATACATACACTCTGTATACAGAAAAACAAACCACATTTTCAAACTAAAATGATTTGTACACATATATAAATATATTTAATTAGACAATCGATAAATGAAAATAAGGAAATCTCTATAGTTTAATAAGCGACTAACATATCACGATAACATTATTGAAAAAGTAAAAACAACATAAGTTCAACCACTTTTCAAGTGACATTTTGAATATAACAAGACTTCCTACCAACAGACAGTATTGTTTTAACACCAAGCATTTAAGAAAACCTAGCACGAAAAGTTCAGAGTATATATTTGTTTAATTCCAATAATTAGTGTTTACTATTTTTGTTAATAAATTCAATAGAAATATTAAAAATACCGGATAAATGTTTTGCACTATATTTTGGTAGTAATTACTTTGTAAACTGAAATAATAATAACAATTTTGAAAATGTCTACTACTTTTTCTCGATAGATTGATAGATAGATAGTACTTTTTCGATATTGTATTACAGTTTTACTCAATTTTTTAACAAATAATTTAATTGTTTGGAGAATATAATTAAGTAGAATTTTTTTAATGTGATTTTACGGGTTATAAGCTTTTGAAGATATTAAACACAACGATGGTTCAAAATCAAAATACTAATTAATTCTTATTCGCTTATTAATGGTTCGAAGGAAATTAATTTTAAACGCCTGTACATTGAGTCAATTAAGTATATATAAAGGCTAAAGGGGTTATATACCTTTCTAAAAGGGTTCATTTCATAAACTTCATTAATTTTCGAGTAATAATAATTTATACAGTTTATCATGGTATTTCATTTGTTTTTCATTATGTGTAAGTATATCATTTAGTGAAAAACTGTTGCGTTCCGATATTTTACTACAATACAATACAATCGACAAATTGGACACAATCATTGAAAAAAAAATACTATATTGAACACGGTTGAACACAAAAGTTGTAATAACGCATAAATACATTTTTTCCCACCATCAGTAAGTTACATAATCAGCCGGTTTCACCAACTATTGTTAAATACACTCTTAAGACAATGTTAGTTACAATTCATTTATATTTAACATCTGGTTAAATGAAATAAGTTTCACCATAACATTATTATTGTTAAATTCAATGTGTTAGGTTTACAAAACGTTAGTTGGGTTACCAAAGTGGTTACTTCGATTCCAACGTTCTCATTGGTTATTAAGATATGTGATAACTGATAAGTGATTGTTTTATTTAATTTATCAGTTTGTTATTATTTGACATTTTATTTTACTTTCTTTTGACGTTTCGGTTTATATAAATAATTTATACATTGTTTAGATAGTTTAGATACCTTTCTAAAAATAGTTTGCCATTAAGGTCATTAAAATATTATTTTCTATTTTGAAGGCCTAAAAAAAGATAGGTGGTAAGAATTATTTCCATTGTCAGGACAGGCAAGACATAATAATAATATCTAAATTACAAAATACAATAAATTATGATATTTGAACCTATAATGCAAGTCTGTGCCATTGCTTTTTACCTAACCTACATAAAATAATTTCTGCTTACCTAATGAAGGGTTATTAAAGTTGTCATTTCAATTGTTCTCTAAACACTCAATATAAAGAAATTCCTCATCAAATGTGTAATTCATTATTATGTATTACTAGTATACTCAGTCAACAAAAATTATGAAACAATTTTCTGAACTATAATAATATAAATATTATGTATAAGTACTACAATACATTTTAATATGCTGATTAACTTTTTAACAAGCCGATTTCGGGTGATTAATTTAACAATGTGTTAAGGCTAACAAATCTCAATGAATAAGTTAACAAATGTTGGTGAAACCGGCTGATTATGTTGTTTACACAGGTTTAATTGAAAACTCGTAAAATGTGGGTTTTTTATGAAACAAAAAAAAATGTTAAGTACAATATGTAAATAAGCGTAATGTTTTATTCAAGTCGAAAAGTATATAAAACTAAAGCAAAAAAAAAATTAAATTAACACGAACCCTCTTTGTTTAGAGTACTGGTTAATTATGTCCACTGTATTCTACAAAATAAAATAAAATGTTCTTCTAAATGCCTAATGTAAAAAAAAAAATTATACACCTTTATAGGATCTTGAGAATATTATGGATCATATCATTTTTTTGATGATAAACTACAATTATAAAAAATTACCTATGTTACCCCTAATTTTACTTTTATCCAACAAGAATAATTCTCAAAGTTTTTTTTCATTCGGAAGGCAGGCAGATTTAAGGGGGTGACTGTTGAACCTCAACTGGTAACGTATACATTTAATTAATATTTTTCTTAAAATAAGAATAATTTTCTGAAATTGTTGACTGGTTGATAACTAGTTTTGAGTCATTATATCTAGCCAAATTACTCAACCGAACTCCACATCCCGTCTTAAATCTTAAACTCTAATAACTTTAAAAGTACTTGATTTTCCCACAAGAACGTATATTAATGATCTTTAAGCGTACCACGGTTTAATATTTGTATGAGGCGGTGGTCTGGCTATAATGGTAGATTGACAGCAATATAAGTAAAAAAATAATATAAAGAAAATTTTTGAAAAAATACTCGTTGACTATAAAAAATTTTAAATGTTTCAATAACGTTTTTACTATATTATATTCAAACTAGAATATAAACATCTGTATTAATATTTATTACAATTGACTGAGACAAGATTAAATACAAAACATCAAATATGCTTATGTAGATACAAAATGGTATTTTTCTTGAACAACATTAAATTGGGAAACACATCTTGACATTTAGAGTGGGCCTTAAACAAGCGCGGTTCATATAATTTTCACAAAACGTGTTCCCTAAAGTGTACATGTAGTTTCTGAAAATGTTTAGCTTGATTGTATAGATGGTAAAGCAGCTATGAATATTTTAAACGTATGAACGCTTTCCTGAAACTTCCGAGGTCACGCCAAACACTATTACAGTACTTTGATAAAACCCTTTACATGTTAACCACAGGTATGTAATTATCATGTAGCTTGAGACTTATAACTTATATATATCGATAAATTCTGAAGAAACATCATCATTTCCTTTAATAACTTCATAAAGTTAAAAAGTTTAATAATGATATCCTTATTAGTTATCTGATTATTCATAAATTTTACATTTAAAACGATTCCATAAATAAACACTACCGTGATATTAGAACATTAAAAAAAAAATGTAATATGTAGGTAAACGTTTTTATTATTTATGTAAACGCAAAAGACATTATTTCATCCTCTTCGTTGAAACTCATTATAATATTTATTATTCTTACAAGGTAAATGGTAAGTTATAAGAAAATACCGAAAATATAAATACTTTTTCAGTAGAAGTTAATTTGTACAAACCAAAGTACGTACA